AGAACTCGCTATGGACACTAAACTCCACAGGTGCTTACCTCTCTTATATCCAATACTATTACAATGCTATATATCCTACCTGCATTTTCCTGTGTGCTTTAAATCATCTCTAGACTATTCATAATGCCTAACAATGGAAATGTTATGTAAACAGTTCTACTATATTGTAGAGGAAATAATGAAAAGGAAAAAGTCCACCTGTTCAGTACTAATGCATTTTGTTTTTCTTGAATACACTGGAACATTTTGGCTGATACAGAGGGCTGACCATAGACTATAGGGACCCGAGACAAACATGTCTGACATAGTAGATGAATAGCCCATTTCCCCCAGGTAGTTTTGCCTTGTGTAGTGTGTTCCTATATTGATTCCAGGATTGGCCATTATATAATATTTGTTTTGTTTTGGTTTGGTTTGGCCTTCAGACAGGATCTCCCTATATAGTCTAGGCTGGTCTTGAACTCCTTGTATAGCCAAGGTTGGCTCAAACTCACACAGATTCTCCTGCCTCAGTCTCCTAAATCCTGGGATTACAGGTGTTATGGTTGATACACTGTGTCAGCTTGAAAGTTTAAACTGAAAGACTCAGCAGAGAGCTAGGGTTCTTACTTCGTAAATATCCTCATCCTTTGCAAGAGGAGGGCAAGGAGATTTTGTGAGAGCTACACCTGCCCTGGAGAGTGGGAGGTGGACTGTGCACAATATAAGGGAGGAAAAGAGGCTTGCTACCCCTGCTTTTGCTCTGGTTGCTTTTACTGTCTGCTGCCTTGAAGTGTTGCCCAGTGTCATGCAACCCTGATTTAGAGACATCTGATTATAGACTGAAACCATCAAAAACCATGAACTAAATAAAACTTTTTTCCTTCACCTTAGGTGTTGAGTATTTTGTTTCAGCGATAAGAGAATAGTAATCAAGAAAACAATTATATGCTACCATGCCCAAATGCCAGATCATTTATTTTGACAAATGGGCCTTTAGTAAGCATGATACAAGAAGAGGTATTTAAAGGACTTGTCCTTTACAGTATTCTTTAGAACTGAACTTCAAGGTATATGAATTCCCAGCTATTATGCTAGGGCATAATCCCCATGGAAAACTCTTAGAGAAGACTCACCATACAATATAACCTCAACACAGCTTCTAGTTAAATGTCATGTGAGTGACCCAAACAATCCCTATTACAACAGGACAGTTACCCCGTCAGCCCATCATGAAGGATAACAAGTGTTTGTATAAGAACTTGAGATTTAGGATAGTTTATTAAATAACAATAGTTGATACAACCTATGCCATTTTAGGCTCGATACTTATTTAGCTATGTGACCTAGGAGAGCTGTCTAACACATTTTTGACAGACCTATAATTCATATGTCTTGCTGCCAAGCAGCTCAAAATCCTTGGTGGCACTTACATGACTGTCCCATCAGGAGGACTCACCAGTAGTTCAAGCCGGAAGCCTGTTACATTTGCTTATTCTGTCTCCAGTTTTATAATATGGGCAATAATGTAGTACTTCACAGGTTGTGCAATGGATTAAATGAAATAATAAATGTGGAAATGTTAGCACAATGCCTGAGGCATACTAAGTACTACTGAATGAGGGTAGTTACCATGAATTTCATCATTTCACAATCATTACTATTTTGATAATTGCCAATTTTACTAGCACCAGTATCAACACTAACACTGCAATCATTGTCACCAGTGCCTTTCTCACAGCTAGAGTGCTAATTCCCTCAATTTCTGCTGCCATAAGGAAAATAAGTCTTTTTTACTGTGACGTTTCTTAAACATACATATACACAAAACTTTTTTCATTCTAATCAGTGATGATTAAAAATAATGTCAAATATAATGTTATTTAACTTAATTATAATGTAATGTGTTATATAATATATATTATATGTATATACTCCTTCATGTTATTTCATTAGATTATTACAGATTTGCTATGATTACTTAGAAGCAGATAAAATTGATCATATTTGAACCTATGTCTTCTTTCTCTAATGTTGAAGTATTTAAAGAAAATTTGTCCAAAAAACACAGGCCTTTATCTTTCACCAGATGCACAATTCAATAATAGAAGAGGTTTTATTCTCTTTAAAGTTCTATTCCTAGTACATTGCAAATGACACATACATAGAGGCTGCATGAGAAATGTTTGTTGAATATGTGAGATCAATTGACAGCTGATTGGCAGTTTAGTAGAGCATGGAATATAGAGCCAGACTGCTTGAGTTTAAATCTCAGCTATGTGAACTTGAAAAATTTAATAGTTCTGTGTGCAAGTTCCCTCATATGTAAAGGAAAATAATAGTAGCTGTTACTTAGAGATATGCAAATGCATATGGAACTCTCAGAATAGTACTGGCAACACAGAGCTCTTTGTTATCATTATTTCATTATTGTTACATCAAGTTCTGCTGATTCATAAAACTTTATATATAATTAACTTACAGAGGGATAATATATATGCATATTGAAAGGCCAGGAAGGATGGTGATTTGCAATCTGAATCAATGGCTTTCAAGTTCCATTCATGATTACCATAATCCAAGATGATAATTTAAACTCTGATCCCTGCTCAATCTACAGTCATTTTCTGTCTTTTGTATTTATAAAAATTGCACCAAAGAAATTGTGTTTGCACAATAAGGTTTGAGATGCACTGCAGATGAATGAATATTAACAATATAAGCTCAGGTCCATATTAATTAATTCAATATTGTGGTATAAATATTCTTTCATTGACCAGTGAATCTAGTCATGTGGATAGTTACTGATTCTACCCAATACTAACCATGTGCCATTTCAAAGTTTCCTCTTTTTTTGTGTGTGTTTCACCACCTTCCCTCATCAATAGTGAGACTCTGACCCTTCAAGAACACAAAGAGAAACTAATGAGGACTACAAACTCTTGCTATTAAAAGTGTGGTTCACAAGACAGCAATGCCAAAATCACACATCAGATTGGTAAACGTGCAGAACCTTGGTAACTAATATAAGTCTCTGAATCTCAATGGCCCTTCCTAACAGAAACATCAGGAGGTGAAATATTAAAATTTGGGTGTCATGCTTAATCCTGAGAGACTCTGATCTGTCTGTGTTACCCAGGTGCTGTAATTTTTCAACTCTACAAGTGACTCTGATATATACAATTTTGCTTAAGAAACATTCATGTAAAGAAAATTCTAGAACAGAACATTGCTTTTATAACTTTTATTTCCATAGTTTTCTTCAGGCTTCTATATGATTCCAGAATTTAGAAAGTCCTTTAGATTTCTGCATCCCAATGGAATAGACCTTTATCTTCACTATTTATGGTTAGTCTCCCACCTTGCCTACTCTAGTATCTATCCTGTTTTCTCACTAATCACTTTGACATGTGAGCCAGCCAGACAGTTAAACTACAGAGCATTCATAACGTACACAGGAATATCCTACAAAACAAAAACACTTTCCTACATTTTCAGGGCGAAAGTCAGATACTGTCAAACAGAGTGAAGATAACAGTATCTACTTGGTTAGGACTGTTCCATGACCCCTATTTTCTTCTTTTAAAATTTGCCTGTGGTGATATGATGGTGTGATTGCCTTTGAATAGACTGCAATATTAGGAAAATAAACTATTTAAATGAAGTATTCTATTTCATTCTACAATTATTTACTCAAAATGTTGGACTTCATAGTTTACTCTGGATTAGTAGGGCAATGTGTAGAAAAATAGATTTGGGGGACTACTCCAAACCAAGTCTTTTTTGTGTGACTTAACAAAAACAGCAATTTTGTCCTGGTCTTGTGACTGTTGTTTGCACAGTAGAAAAGACTTTAAAATCAGTTCAATCAAATACTTGAAAATTAATATCTTGAATGGAGTCACTTGGAAAGCTGGCAATGGGAGAGAATTAATTACACAAATTTTTGCTGTCATAGAGTTCACAGTGTTATCCTTAAGCCATTGGCTTTGACTTCATTTGAGAGCCAAATTGAGACTTTTGAGTCCTAATTCAGACTTCCTTCATAATCTGTCTTTTAACAAAATAGGCCAATTGTGGTTTGAGTGGTTTGAGTACTGATCTGGTAGTCTTTCTCCAATATTTGTCTTTCCTTGAATGACACTCCATATAGCACCCCACTCATTTGTCCTATTCTGTTTCTTACCCAAATTCCGTATGAATTTTTTACATCTCCAAGATTCTTGTTATCTCTCTTGTAACCAGCTACTACTTGGACCAACTCACATTTTACCAAGTATTGTATGTATACTGAAGAAAGGGATAAGATTATACAAGCACGCAGTTATTTACATTTTTTCCTTAGTGCAATTAAGAGAGAAAAATGCATCCCCCCCAATCTGTTTTGAACTATCGAGGAAGTAAAGTACAGAACAATCTTATATAAAGTCTTCTCTTTATAAATCTGGCAATAGGAAAACAATCCTTACAAATTCTAATTTTTCCAGTACTGTGAAAACACGGAGATATATTGGTTTTATTCCTCCAATATAACATAAAAGGACAGCAATTTGGCAAAAGTGGGTTGACTGCTAAACTCATTCAATTTAGTTCTCAATAGGCAATTGAGAGAAACTATGTAAATTAAAATATTTAGTCTTTTTCTTCCATTGTAAGATTAATAGAGAATCAAAAGACAGTTATTCATGCTGATAATTTTGGTTGTTTTACTACCAATGTACACACCATGTTACTTGTAACTCCTAAAACAATATCAAGATAGTACTTTTCTATTTGATTGGAATACTGTTAAAGTTTCAATAAGTGAATCTTATGTGAATATAAAAATATCTGTTGATAAAATATGGATGAAAACTAAAATTTTGATTTTAAATGAAACAGAAGAAAAATATTCTAAAATTCTAATACCTTCAGATAACTGATTCATCAAACTTAACCAACTTTAAAATGGGGAAAATAAATCTTTTGAAACTAAGAAAGAAAAGTGTTCCGCGAAGATTTAAAAAAGCAGAAAATCTTACCAGAGTTCTTCAGTTAATGGAGAGGCACCATCTAAAACAACAAAGATGCATTTTGGTATGGCAACCACAAAAATGACAAACACTTTCAGTTATCTTCAAACATGTTACAATTAAGAATCATATTTATTAAAAAATGAACAAGTGAATGAGATACTCTGATTCGCATCTGATGATATCAGATGAAAACATTGCATCACCATTTTATGATCTAAATAGATAACAGTTGTTTTTCATAATCATTTTTATGGTATACATGGCACATATATATTGTGCATAACTATTTCCTCCTGATAATTGTGTTTAAAAGGCAGCAGAATCATAGGTTGACCTAGATTGTACTCTTTGTCGTGCCATGAGCAAAATCTCAGCATATTCCATACTGATTACAGGAAAAGAAAAAAAACAGTATCATAGACTTAATAATTTTAGAACAAGCGAGGAGAAAGAAACTCTCATGTCAAATTGCATTGTATCATGACTGTGGTTAACATTTTATTGAGTATTCCAAAGAGCTAATATAGAAGATTATTGGAAGAAAAATATTTGATGTAATAGACATGCTAAATACCTTGACTTGATTAGGACAAATATGTACAAATATTACATCATTGAATTATACATCAATCATATTTAAGTGCAATTAGTATGCATCAATTAAGAACAAACCATAAGGAAAGAAAGCAAATTTAAAAAAAAAACAAAAAAACAAAGAAACAAACAAGCAAAAACTATAGAGGTTTTTGTGACCCCGGAGATGTTAGCAGGAATGTAAGTGTGAAGTTACTCCAAATGAAGTGATTTATGAATAGTACATGTTTGGAACCTATAGAATATTTCTCTTAAAAGATTTCTTAGGAATTTTCAGATGCAAATTTATTCAAATAGCATATTAGCTCTCTAGTCCTCCATATCCAATTCCTTTATTTCCCATAAAAGATCTATTGTCTATAAAATAACTTTGATATTAGAATGCAGGGACAGAATACTAAGTTGGATAGCTTCCTAGTATTATATGATTTATTTGAAAATAGTGAAGAATAAACATGTAATGCTGTTCATCTATCTATCTGTTATCTATCTCTCTGTGACAATTATACAGGTGGTAGGAATGAACTAGTTGTTTTTGTATTTACCTGAACAAACAATCATACAAAACTATTTGCATTGAACTTCCTAAGTATTCCAACACTATCAGAATTCTTACATGCATATATAATACATGTCATATGTCTCTGTCACACAAACAGGAACATAGAGAATTATGTACACAGGTAATTAGAGGAATTCTCCTCTTTTCTGATTGCATCAGACTTGTCTTTCCATTGGCATTTTCTTTTCCTCTTATCAAGATTTTAGTGCTGAGTTCTCATATAATTTGCAAGTGAGTCACAGCTTAGACTGAAGAGGCAAAAGGCAAGTGGCAGGGATAAAAGTAGCTGAGATTGAAGCGAATTGGTGATGGAGTTTCACTACATATAATTCACACATAAGGCTGAACCCAAAGCACATAACAGATTTACTTTGTAAAACAAGAAGGCCAGCATCAATAGTTAAGTCCTATTTCATTTTTGTTCTGATAAATGATTCTTACTTCAATCATAATTACTTGTGTTCACTTTATTTTCTTAAAAAGAATAAAAGGAAAAATGTAAAGTTGGTCCAGTTTTATCGAAAATATGTATGGCATTGTAAACCAATAGCAAATAATCTTACTGATACATATATATATATATATATATATATATATATATATATATATATCGTATAGAATATATATAATATAAAATATAATAAATGTTTTTAAAAAAGCAAAATTGGAAAAATACACACTCAAGAAATCTCTGCTTTTTTTGGAGGAAAAAAAAGTGGAAATGAATGATGCACATTTGTGACATTTTGGTTTTCTGACACCTTTATTGGTCTCATCAAAGAAGACTGCAGTGACACACTCTCTCTGGAAGGTTTCTCAAGAAGGTCTTAGACTTGATTTTATACTCTATAAGGAGAAAAAAAATCAAGTGAGGACTTAAAAAATCTGGTGGATGTATGGGGATTACATACACATTAGGCCCTGGAGGCAGGAGCTCAAATTCATATCTATAAAACATATGAGGGAATCTTATGGGCAAGTCAGTAGGACTGGCTCTTTCTAGTGTATGAAAAATACCAAACATAGCACCAAACACAGACTATGAGAAAAGTATATTTAAAATTATTTAAAATAAAAGATTTCTAAAAACCATATGAAAGAAATAAAACTCTACAAAAATAACGAGAGTTTTCAAACAGTACTGATTATAATATTTAGAAATAACATAATAACTGAAATTATGAGAATCAACAGACACAATAAACACCAATATTACTCATGGAGAGACAGAGTACAGAAAATAACTTTATGTTGCCCAAGAAACAAAGAAAAAATGAAAGGACAAAGTAGTGTGAGGTGCTTTAACAGAAGAAAGAAAAGGAATTCGAGAAATCTTAACAGAGAAATATGTAGCTAAGGTACTTCACACACTGCTGTATGATTTGGTTTATACCTCTGTCCCTTTCTCTCTTTTTCCCTCCCTGCTAGTCTTCCAGCTTCCAGAAAGCTAAACATACCTCAAACAAAATTGATACAATTAAATACTGCTCACATACAAAGAAATAAATGTAATGTCAAATACACCTATGAAACAAATATGCATTTAAAAAGCGACAAATGGACTGAGAGCCAATGTTCTTAAAAGGGAAATAGATGCTTTAAGACCCAAGACTCGTAACTCAAAAGTGCTAATAGAAAATGACTGTTATTTCAGTAGCCTTTACTCATCCTTGAATTATTTATAAAGATACTATTTGAGATAATTTTAAATAAAAACCACAATTTTACTATGATCTCTACTTTTATTAAGGGAAATTGAAGGATATAACTTAGCAAAAAAGGAAATTATAAGGATATAATTCAGGAAAAAAATAAACTGAACTCAGAAAGAAAATGATATGTATAAGAGAATGATAAATAATTATTGAATTAGATAAGTAAATCCAGAAACGCTAACTAAAAAATGGTATAGTACATTTATCCCAGAAATTGAAAACACTGAATACTTATACAATGCCAAACATGGGCAGAAAAGTTGTAATTAAAGTGTTCTGACATTCATATATTATTTGAGAGAAGGGTAAGATATTTCTTAGCTGTCTTTTTGAGACAGGATCTCACTATGCAGTTCAAGCTGGCCTTGGGCTCACTTTGTAGCCCAGGTTGATCTTGAACTTGCAAACGATTCTCTTGCCTCAGTCTCCTGAGTGTTGGGATTAAAAGAGTGTGCCACCATGCCCAGCCTTTAACTTCATATGTTGTTAATTGAAATATTATCATTATCACTTAGAGGCAAACACAAAAGTAGAAAAATAGAAAGCATAATATAAAAGGGACCAAGCGATGAGAGGGAGTTATAAAAAGAATTAAGATGTATTATATGTATGTATCAACTCTCTACAAGAATGAAAATATAATGTACTGCAAATATGTAATAATAATGATGAAACTGAAAAAAGGAAGAAAAACTAAAAAAAATGAAAGAAATAGTATGCATAGAAACAAATAAATTAAAAATATGTGTAAAATAATTAATACATTAAGAAGATAGATAACCACAATAAATGCTGTTATTGTTCCTGATACTCTTTCCTCTTCCTCCCAGGATTGCATGAACCTTCCTAAACCTCTCATTTTATCATCAGTAGTATTAACCTGTTTTCCTACCAGTCTCTGAAAAATGTCTCAAAAATCTTCCTCTGTCCAAAGTTTTTAAAAATAAGAGAAGTTAATCCATAATTTCCTAAGGGCTTTACTACTTGTAAAGTATTTGGGAAAGTAAAGCAATATTTTAAAGTAAGGAAGAAGTTCTTAATTTTAATTGGTGCAACTGAATTGTAGTCTTAAAATTTAAAGTCTCAAATCCAGAGGTCACACCCCACCCACAGTCCCAAAGAAACAGTTGAACACCAGACATGTTCAATAATATTCAGTGTATTTCTTGTGTTAAGAATTTAAAGCTTTTAGATTTTTGGTTTTGTATTCTCTTTTCCCTACTCTTCATCTTAGATTTTGACAAACTCCAAACACTTTCATAAAAAGTGTCTATCCTTGTTCCTTGCTCCATCTATTAAAAAAAAATCTAACCTTGTTAGTCATCCAAAGACTCTACAAACAGTACACAAGCAAATAAAATCATGAATTAAAAGGAGTAAGGAGTAAGAATAAGTTCATTATTTATTCTTAAATCATTCATTGAACAAACATTTTTATCATGTATTAAAGCAGTATTTTATCATCTGCTCTGTCTCATTTGATATCTTAGCACTGAGGATACAGGGGAAGCCATACGCACATCTCTTCCATATTTTGTGTCATGGAGAAGGAAAAGGGCCTAAAAGATCGTAAGCAACTAAACAAGCCAATGAAATCATTTTAGACAATTAGTTAAGAAAATGAAACAGGTGATGTGAATCAGATTGAATTAAATTGAATGGCTGGCCAGAAAAATATGGAAGCCAGGCATACAATATCAGAGGACAGGATTGGAGATATGAAGAAAACTGAGCAAAAACGAAGGGCTATGTGAACTTGTTATATTCAAGGCACAGAAAAAAAGAAAGTCAATGTGACCAAAGTCTAGTGAGCAGAAAAGAAGTGGTATAAGGTACAGAAGGACACTGGGGCAGATTACAGATTGCAGAGTAGACCACGGCCAAGGAGTCTGGATGACAGTCCAAGGTGATTCACTAAGGGTTTTAAGCAATAGAGAAATTATCTGATTATGTCTCATACATGCCTAAAGATACCCTGTACAAAATGGAAACCCAGAAGGAAAAGAGTTGTGAAGTTAGTTTGGCATAGTTCATGACAAGAGCCAGTGGTATTTTGAAGCAAAGCGAATCAGAGAAAACTAGGAACGTCTCTAACATAGCCAGCTGAGGTAATGTACACCTGCTCTGAGGGAAACAGGAGTGTCAGAAGTTCATTTCTTGCATGGA